TCGAACTGTTAAAAACCACAGTTTACATATTCGAACTGTTAAAAACCACAGTTTACATATTCGAACTGTTAAAACCACAGTTTACTTATTCGAACTGTTAAAAACTGCAATTTACATATTCGAACTGTTAAAAACCACAGTTTACATATTCGAACTGTTAAAAACCACAGTTTACTTATTCGAACTGTTAAAAACCGCAGTTTACTTATTCGAACTGTTAATATGTAAACTGTGGTTTTTAACAGTTCGAATATGTAAACTGTGGTTTTTAACAGTTCGAATATGTAAACTGTGGTTTTTAACAGTTCGAATATGTAAACTGTGGTTTTTAACAGTTCGACAAGTGTTAGTGAGTACAAGTGTTAGTGAGTACAAGTGCTAGTGAGTACAAGTGCTAGTGAGTGCAAGTGTTAGTGAGTACAAATGTTAGTGAGTACAAGTGTTAGTGAGTACAAGTGTTAGTGAGTACAAGTGCTAGTGAGTACAAGTGCTAGTGAGTGCAAGTGTTAGTGAGTACAAATGTTAGTGAGTACAAGTGTTAGTGAGTACAAGTTTTAGTGAGTACAAATGCTAGTGAGTGCAAGTGTTAGTGGGTACATATCTTAGTGAGTACAAGTAATTACAAATTGCTAATTCTACTATAGTAACAGTTCGAATATGTAAACTGTGGTTTTTAACAGTTCGAATATGTAAACTATGGTTTTTAACAGTTCGAATATGTAAACTGCACTCACTAACATTTGTACTCACTAACACTTGTACTCACTAACACTTGTACTCACTAACATTTGTACTCACTAACACTTGTACTCACTAAGATATGTACTCACTAACACTTGTATATCTTAGTCAGTACATGTGTTAGTGAGTATATATCTTAGTGAGTACAAGTGTTAGTGAGTATATATCTTAGTTAGTACAAGTGTTAGTGGGTACATATCTTAGTGAGTACAAGTGTTAGTGAGTATATATCTTAGTGAGTACAAGTGTTAGTGAGTACATATCTTAGTGAGTACAAGTGTTAGTGAGTACAAATGTTAGTGAGTACAAGTGCTAGTGAGTGCAAGTGTTAGTGAGTACAAGTGTTAGTGAGTACAAGTGCTAGTGAGTGCAAGTGTTAGTGAGTACATATCTTAGTGAGTACAAGTGTTAGTGAGTACAAATGTTATTGAGTACAAGTGTTAGTGAGTACAAGTGTTAGTGAGTACAAGTGCTAGTGAGTACAAGTGCTAGTGAGTGCAAGTGTTAGTGAGTACAAATGTTAGTGAGTACAAGTGTTAGTGAGTACAAGTGCTAGTGAGTGTGAGCAAGTGTTAGTGAGTACTAACTAAGATATATACTCACTAACACTTGTACTAACTAAGATATATACTCACTTACACTTGTACTCACTAACACTTGTACTAACTAAGATATATACTCACTTACACTTGTACTCACTAACACTTGTACTCACTAAGATATATACCCACTAACACTTGCACTCACTAGCATTTGTACTCACTAACACTTGCACTCACTAGCACTTGTACTCACTAGCACTTGTACTCACTAACACTTGTACTCACTAAGATATATACTCACTAGCACTTGTAATCACTAACACTTGTAATCACTAACACTTGTACTCACTAACACTTTGTACTCACTAAGATATATACTCACTAACACTTTGTACTCACTAAGATATATACTCACTAACACTTGTAATCACTAACACTTGTACTCACTAACACTTGTACTCACTAAGATATATACTCACTAACACTTGTACTGACGAAGATATGTACTCACTAACACTTGTACTCACTAAGATATATACTCACTAACACTTGTACTCACTAAGATATATACTTACTAGCACTTGTACTCACTAACACTAACCAAACGAACCCTATGAATTATTTAAAACTATATCAAACTCTAGATGTCGCTATGAAATTGATTGTATTATCGTCTTAATTTAACAGAGATTAAAACTTTCATTTATTCTTAACAAAATTATTATAATAAGTAATTTATTTTTTCAGTTATTAACCAGCTAATCATTCTTATTGTGGATCAATAATTATTCAACCAATAATTCTTATTTTCTGTTATTAACCAGCTAATCATTCTTATTGTGGATCAGTAATTATTCAACCAATAATTCTTATTTTCTGTTATTAACCAGCTAATCATTCTTATTGTGGATCAGTAATTATTCAACCAATAATTCTTATTGTTTGGTTTCTGTAACTTGATTCCAACGTCGTAGGTTATCCTGGTGAACGAGATTATTTGAGTACTTCGAATACAGCAGAATGCTTCAGGTCCTCTAGACGAAGACTACGTAACCATGACAACCCATTAGTAGTTTTTCCAACGTCTGACATGCCCTATGAAAGACCGTCGTGGACAAAATATGAGATAGAGACTACAGGAGCACGAGGAACAGAAGGTTATGTACATACAACGGTTCCAGCAAGCTACTCCACTCCTTCTCTCTCTAGGTACCTGAGTATTTATGTTATATTTTATAACATAATCAGACATCTACTCCACTCCTTCCCTCTCTAGGTACCTGAGTATTTATGTTATCATTTCTAGCATGATCAGATATCTACTCCACTCCTTCCCTCTCTAGGTACCTGAGTATTGGTGTTATCATTTCTAACATGATCAGACATCTACTCCACTCCTTCCCTCTCCAGGTACCTGAGTATTTATGTTATCTTTTCTAACATCATCAGACATCTACTCCACTCCTTCCCTCTCCAGGTACCTGAGTATTTATGTTATCTTTTTTAACATCATCAGACATCTACTCCACTCCTTCCCTCTCTAGGTACCTGAGTATTAGTGTT